AAAAAAAAAAAAAAAGACAGAAAGATACAAAATCAGATTTCTGGGCTCCACCCCAGCTTCTTGAATGGGAATCACTTGAACTGATGGAATATATATATATATGGGAGTTTAAAGTATTAACTCACATAATCACAAGATCCCACAATAGGCCATCTGCAGACTGAGGAACAAGGAGAGCCAGTCTGAGTTCCAAAACTAAAGAACTTGGAATCCAGTGTTGGGCATGAAGGATCCAGCATAGGAGAAAGATGTAGGCTGGGAGGCTAGGTTGGGCTCTCTTTTCACATTTTTCTGCCTGCTTATGTCCTAGCTGAGCTGGCAGCTGATTAGATTATGCCCACTCAGATTAAGGGTGGGTCTGCGTTTCCCAGCCCACCGACTCCAATGTTAATCTCCTTTGGCAATGCCCTCACAGACACACCCAGGATCAATACTTTGTATCCTTCAGTCCAATCAAGTTGGCACTCAGTATTAACCACCACAGAGAGTGAGTACTGTTCCCATCTCCCTTGTCCCACGGAAACCTTTGTCTTTATAATGCTGGTTTCATTTGGTTTCGTTTTTTGTAACATTGGAGTTTCTTGGAAGCAATCACCTTGTTACGATGACACAGACAACGGAGTGGGTCCTTTTCCACCCAAAACCAACTCTGCCCCTAGTCAGCCTGCAGCTACCTCAGCAGCTCCTCCATCCTCTCAGCCATCCAAGCAGGGAAAAGTTACCATCATCCTTACCCTTTTTCCCTATCCTACCTCCACTCATCCCACCCCATGTGTTCAGCCATGCAGCAAGTCCTGGCAGCTCGCCTTCCAGCTTCATCTCTTAGAAAGTCATAGCTGGACCATCATAATGCTCTACTAACCTGTCTTTTCACTCCTCAGCGGCTCCTGACTATTCCCTGAAGTCTATACTTATTCATATTAAGCATAGGAATGCCAGCACTGATGGATCTTCCTGAAACATTTCATTGCTTACAAAATGTCTAGAAATTCAAGTGCTTACGGAATACATATCAAATCCTGAGCCTAGCATTCCAGGGCCCTTGTAATCTGATACCGATATTTAATTTGCTGTCTTTCTAAATTCATGCTGTGTATGGAGATACTGACAGTATTTTCCAAAAGACAATTTGTTCTAAGCACAAAACTATGTGTTCTATCTTTCTCCACAGTGCCTAGCGCAGGGACTTATACCTGTGTCTTAGCTTGAGTTACACCCAAATCGGACTCTGAGACAAAGATTTATGTGCAGGTAACAACCAAGAAGTACTTAAACAAGCTTTCACTGTGGGCAATTAGAGCACATCCTGCTGAGGGACTCTCGGAGCCAGAGTAGACCACAGCTCTACAGAGAGTTCTTCCAGAGGTAGGAGGTATAAATACCCCAGCTCCCCATAAGTCTTTGATGAGGGCTGCTCTGGAAATGCTGTACAGGTGGCAGGTGGTAGGACAGGGAGAAAGGGTAAGGATCCTCTTCTCCAATCAGCTTCCAAACTAATTGAAAAAAATAAAGTAAAATGGTAAGAAAGATGGATGGCCAAACTCTCACCTTTGCCTGGATGATGCTGATTTTGGGGAAGGGGCTTGTATCACTGGGCACAGTCAATCCCAGAATTAGACAGGCCTGTGTACCCTGACACAAGTAGGGTGGGAGAAGCACAGGCCTCTCTGTCCTACTGCACAGAAATATCAGAGGGGCCATCCAGTGCTGTTTCCATATGCCACAGGCAGCTCCATCTAGAGAGGGCCCCAGAGGAGGTGCTATTTCAAGTCATAGAAATACTAGAAGGAAAGGATTGGCCTCGAGAAACACATCCAAGCAGACAGATGAAAACAAAGACCTTGCAGAGGTCTCTCTTGCCAATGAATGAGTCACAGGAAATGATTAGCTTAAGCAATGTGCAATAGCTTTCAACACCCCTTATGTATGTTTACCTTCTCAGAACATGACAAAAAGCCTTACAGATTGTCAGTGATGTTAATTATCCCCACTTCACAGACGAAGAAACTAAGTCCCCCAAGCATAAGTGATTTATCCAAGTGCACAGTTTGAATCCAGGTACACAGCTGGAATCCAGGTCTTCTGAATAACTCCTAGGCCAATGTTATTGCTTTCTGATTTATTTGATGAGAACTCTGAATTTTGGAACATCCTACAATGAGGAAGATGTTATTGGAGGAAAAAGAATGAGAACTAGGAACTGACAACAGAATAAGGAGGAGTGTGGAAATTCCCTTTGGCATGGGTTATTGAAATACTTTTCATGATAAAGCCAGATTAAGAGAGAGCTTTTAAGTTCTGAATTAGTTCTGTATTATCTAAAGACTTTGGACTCAGTATGGGAGGCAGAATAATGTCCCTCACCCAAGGATAACCACATCCCAATCCCCACAATCTGCCAACATGTTACATTACATGCTAAAGGGGAATTAAGGTAGCAAATGGAATTCAGGTTGCTAATCAGCTGATTTTTTTTTTTTTTTTTGAGACGGAGTTTCGCTCTTGTTACCCAGGCTGGAGTGCAATGGCGCAATCTCGGCTCACCGCAACCTCTGCCTCCTGGGTTCAGGCAATTCTCCTGCCCCAGCCTCCTGAGTCGCTGGGATTACAGGCACGCACCACCATGCCCAGCTAATTTTTTGCATTTTTAGTAGAGACGGGGTTTCACCATGTTTGACCAGGATGGTCTTGATCTCTTGACCTCGTGATCCACCCGCCTCGGCCTCCCACGGTGCTGGGATTACAGGCTTGAGCCACCACGCCCAGCCCCTCAGCTGATCTTAAAATACAGAAATTATACTGGATTATCTGGGTGGGCCCAATGAAATCAGAAAGATCTTTAACTGTAGAAGAGGGAGTCAGAAGAGTTTGTGTCAGTCATACAATGAGAAAAACTTGATTGGCCCTTTGCTGGCTTTGAACAGGGAAGAAGTCCCCAGCCCTGGAATGCTGGAATCCCTAATAAAGGCCAAAAAAACAGATTCTGCCCATCAGCACCTCCAGAAAGAAATGCTGCCTTGCCAACATCTTGATTTTAGCAGTGAAAATCATGTCAAATTTTTGACCTCCAAAACTATAAGACAATACATTTGCGTTGTTTCAAGCCACTACATTTGTGATAATTTGTTACAGCAGCAATAGGAGACTAATTCACTGAGTCATCATGGAAAGACGGATTGTGAGATATCCCCGCCCCCATCAAAAATGGGCCTGCCCGTTTGTTCCATTCTCCAGCCCTGTGAGCCTTGTACCATGCAGGCAGGTTATGCAGGTTAATTTGGCAAAGCCAGGTCACATGCATGGGTGAAGAACCCCAGCAAGCACTGTGCATATTGATATACCTAGCTAGGGTACAGCCAGTGGTTGGGGGAGGATCTACCTTCATCTCAGATCTTCAGAAAGTCAAAAGTCGGGGAGAGTCATGCTGCTTTGGTATCTCCTCTAATGGAATTCAATGGATCAGAGCCACTAGCAGGCAGGGGGTACACAAGAGAAGATAAAACAACTTTGTGGCAGAAATATTGGCAGGGACAGGAAGAAATAACATGACAGAAGGCCTTCTTAGTCCAGTCAGAGACTTGGAAAGGGTGGCTAAAGGGTCTGGTCACAAAGGAAAGGCAAGTGGTATAGAATTTCCTACAGGCAGCATCCAGCTCTTGTTCTTACCTGACTCAAGCTCCAGGTATGAAGCACACGTTCATTTCTAGGGTTGATTTGTTTCCTCCCTGTCATTCATGCCTTTTGTTTTCATCTACCTCATCCCAAAGCATTCCTCTACCCCAAACATAAGATGCACAGAAATGATGCCAGGGCACCAAGTGTCTAAATAGGTGTCATTAGGTGTCTCTGGAAAGAAAGTATTCAGCTCACACAAATGAGCTCACTTCCCACAAAGGGCTCCAGTTTCTCTCCCAGACAGTGTGGCTCATTGGAAAGAGCAAGACTTACGGTGTCGAGGTGACTTCACACACCTTATCACTTGAGCACAAGATGGCCCAGGGAGGTAGGAGCATAAGCTTGTATCAGAAGCTTGGATTCTAGTCCCTGCATGATGTGAGCTTGGGCAAGGTGTTTACTTCCTTAGATTCTACCACAAGCCCACCTTGACTGTCCTGCCTCTGAAATGCAGGATGACAGCTCATGGGAGGGGGAGCAAGTTCTTGCCCATTGCCCTGAGAAAGCCCCCCACCTCTTTCTGTGGGGCACAAGCCCTTCCTTCACCTAAACCATGAGGTATTTGAAATGAAGAGCTTTGAGAGTATTATATGTTCTTGGGAGGAATGGCAAAATGGAAACCCAAGGTGGTATAATAGGATGCTTAAGAACAGTAACAGGCCACAAGTATTTATTTCAATACCTACTACACACAAAGCATTTTACAAAAATTACTGCATTTAATGTTCACAGTAGCCCTGCAAAGTAGGTATCCTCTTATCCCAGGTTGCATTTGAGGAAATAAAGCTCAGAGAGATTGGATAATTCATCCTAAACTCCAAAGCCAATCCAGGGAAAAACCAGAATTTATTCAGCCTGTTTGACCCAAAGCCTGTGCTGTTTTCACTAAAACACTCCACTACTCCAAATGATATTGCTAAAATAAGATGAAGCTTGTTAAAGCTGGATAACAGGTACATGAGGACTCACTGCCCCACTATGTCTGCTTTAGTGTATGTTTGGGGTTAGTTAAAAACTAACGTTTCCAAGCATCCATTATTACTACTGTTGGCTTCCCTCCCTCACCAGATATCTTGCCATCGTTCACCCCTTGAAACCACGGATGAATTATCAAACGGCCTCCTTCCTGATTGCCTTGGTCTGGATGATATCCATTCTCATTGCCATCCCATCAGCCTACTTTGCAACAGAAACCGTCCTCTTCATTGTCAAGAGCCAGGAGAAGATCTTCTGTGGCCAGATCTGGCCTGTGGATCAGCAGCTCTACTACAAGTCCTACTTCCTCTTCATCTTTGGTGTGGAGTTCGTGGGTCCTGTGGTCACCATGACCCTGTGCTACGCCAGGATCTCCCAGGAGCTCTGGTTCAAGGCAGTCCCTGGGTTCCAGACAGAGCAGATCCGCAAGCGGCTGCGCTGTCGCAGGAAGACGGTCCTGGTGCTCATGTGCATCCTCACGGCCTACGTGCTGTGCTGGGCACCCTTCTACGGTTTCACCATCGTACGCGACTTCTTCCCCACCGTGTTCGTAAAGGAAAAGCACTACCTCACCGCCTTCTACGTGGTCGAGTGCATCGCCATGAGCAACAGCATGATCAACACCGTGTGCTTTGTGACGGTCAAGAACAACACCATGAAGTATTTCAAGAAGATGATGCTGCTGCACTGGCGTCCCTCCCAGCGGGGGAGCAAGTCCAGCGCCGACCTTGACCTTAAGACAAACGGGGTGCCTGCCACGGAAGAGGTGGACTGTATCAGGCTGAAGTGACCCACTGGTGTCACACAATTGAAAACCCCAGTCCAGTACTCAGAGCATCACCCACCATCAACCAAGTTCACAGGCTGCATGGGAAACGACATCTATGCTCATGTCTCCCCAGTGCCCTCAAGAAGCTGAATGCTGCAAAGTCATAACATGCAATGAGACTAGACATGAACCACAGCAGCTGACATTTACTGATATCTGCTCAACACCTGCTGTGTGCACAATCCCAGCAAGATTAGACATAAGGAACAGCAACAGACATGGACTGAACATCCACTGTGTGCAAACCACACCAATAAGATTAGACGGGGACAGCGGGAGCTGACGTTTACTGACTACCTACTGTAATCAAAAACATTTGATTTGATTACAATCAAAAAACATTAAAAAAAAAAAAACAGAACAAAATGGCAGAAGCTATTGGAGTCCCCAAGCTATCTCCAGATATACAGATAGCTCACCTTCCATCTTCCCAAATTCTGTATCTTATCACTGCAGGAACCTCAAAAGGCTATAGTCTGAGCATGATGGCTCATGCCTATAACCCCAGCACTTTGGGGGGCCGAGGCAGGTGGATCACTTGGGGTCAGGAGTTCAACCCACTGTGGCCAACATGGTGAAACCCTGTCTCTACTGAAAATATAAAATTAGCCAGGCGTGGTGGCACATACCTATAATCCCACCTACTCGGCAGGCTGAGGCAGGAGAATAGCTTGAACCTGGGGGTCAGAGGTTGCAGTGAGCCAAGACTGCTCCACTGTACTCCAGTCTGGGCAACAGAGAGAGACTCTGTCTCAGAAAGAAAGAAAAAAGGCTATAGAAGAAGGCCCTTAGACACAATGGAAATGTAAGAATAAGTTTGTCAGTGTGGGGTTTACAGCATCATGGGAGGAGTGTTAAAGCCATCACATTGAACTTTCCCACCCACCTCCTACTGCCTCCCAGGACATTCTCTAGGATTTTGGCTTCAAGAAAACAAACCTTATAGTCAAGCCAGCCTGATATGGTTACCCACAATGGTGTAATTTCAAAGGAAAAAAACTAAAAATCACTTTCCCACTGATGCTTGAAAGCTTATTTTATTTTGGTGGAGTTGGGTAATCCTGAGGTGTCAGTTTTTGACACCTCAGTGCAAAAGATGTCAGGAGCTCTGGGGTCAGAGCAGAAGAGGATAGAGAAAAAAGTGGAGGTTGCCACTGGCAATGAACAAAATCTGAGTGGGCATTTTGCTAAGGACTGAACCACTTTTCTAGAGCATGCCTTCTTTTACAAAAGGAATTCTACCTGGAATCTAAAGACCTGGGTTCAGGTCCTAACTCTAAGACTCGTCCTAAACTTATGATGTTTTCTCTCTGGGTCTCAGTTTTGCTTCAATGAAATGGCAATGATGAAAATACTTGCTCTGCCTACCTTGCAGGACCATTGGGAAAGCCCATTGAGGTCATGATTTGTGAATGTGTTTTTCAACTGTGCACATGATGAGAATGGAGAAGTGATATTGAACAGTTTATTTGGAGGGAGTTTATCTAGAAACCCCATCCACTGTGATTTATTAGAGAAATACCCCCACTTTTTCATCCCTGTTCTTTGGACTAAAGATCCTGAACTCTTCACAGTGTACTCTGTCTACAGTGAGGCAAAAAGGAATCCCTGTTCTTGGTTATAATCAGGGAAATTTAACCTGAGTCTCTGTGACCCCAAGACTCTCAGCATCCCTATGGTGGTCTTACAAGTGTTGACAGTCTTCCCTGCATGTTGCAAAATAGCACCCTAGCACTGCATAAATATAACTTCTGAATCTGTTTGTATTATTATACATTTGTGGTGACTGTAGGTATACGTCCTCATTTCTTCCTGATTCAGTTTGAAGCGGTAGCTATACAAATAGTACCTGGTGTGGGACTGATCCATCCATATTTGGTCAATTCCTAATTTTGTGTAGAGAAGGAATTAGTTGCTTGTTTGTTTTTATTATTTGTTGGTTTCTCCAACTGAAGTTTCAACCAACATTTCTTTCTATCACCTCCCAGGAGACCCACCTTCAGCTCAATCATTGTACCCTCACAAAATGCAGGCCGACACGGTGGTTCACACCTGTAATCCCAGCACTGTGGGAGCCCAAGGTAGGCGGATCACCTGAGGCCAGAAGTTTGAGATCACCCTGGCCAACAAGGCGAAACCCCAGCTCTACAAAAATACAAAAATTAGCCAGTAGTACATGCCTGTAGTCCCAGGTACTCGGAATGCTGAGGTAGGAGAGTCACATGAACCCCAGAGGCGGAGGTTGCAGTGAGCCGAGATCGTACCACTGCACTCCAGCCTGGGCGATAGAGCAAGACTCCATCTTGTAAGGAAAAGAAAGAAAATGCTGCATTGGAACCGAATCATTTTCTGAGTGTTAAAAAAAAAAAAAAGAAAAAAGAAAATGCATATGTACTGTAATATGCCTAAGCAAAACTTTTTGTTAATTCTGATTTAGAAAAATTCTTACTTGCTTGGCTTTGAAATGCATTGTGTAATTTTGTAATTACAAAATTACGCAATGCATTTCAAAGCCAAGCAAGTAAGAATTTTCGGTTGTCTACATTTCTATAAATATAATAATAATTGTATTTTTATTTATTATTCTATCCTGGCTTTTAGCCAAATCAGAAGGTTCTTCAGGAATGGACCATGTCGAGTCAGCAGGATCCACCCCCTTTTCCTTTTTGTCCTACACTATACCATCTTCTTTTATTGCAATTTAACTGAAAAAACGTTTGTAAATATCAGTGTATATTTGTGACTTTCCAGCGAATAAAAGTGTAATGTTGTTATCCAATTAAATAATTAACATATGGAATTTAATCACAGGTTTCAAGTGCTTTCCCTGCCAATCTTTTAGAGCCTGTTAATATATTTAGATATGAATGAAGTAATAGCCACCTAAACAGTCCAATCCTAGAACAGAGAAGGAATTTATTGAAGGCATTTTTAGAATAGTGGCAGCTCATAGCATCAATTAGCCTCCTCTCAGTTACATCCTTCAGGCTAATAGCCCAGGAGTGTATTCATGCGTGCAAATAAGCAGGGAACCACAGTCCTGGACTGATGTGATGCCTTCATTCTAAAACAGTCTCGTTTGTTCCAACGAAAACTGCCGCTTGCACAGTGACGATTCATCCGTCCAGCTGGTAATAAATGAATTACACTTGTATTTAGGCTTTTCTTTTCAAGTCTAATTAGTGGTAAGCTTAAGACACTTTTAATATGCTAAGATATATAGACATTTATGCCTATTATTATATATTGAAAAATTAATCTCATTTAGCAAAATGGATCCATTTCCTCAGGCAGAATAAGAAAAAAGATCGCTCTGTAATGAAGCTATTAAAGATTTTTCTATCAGCATTCAACATTTAAAATAAGTTGCTTTACAAATTAAAGAAATCAAAAGATGGCTTCAGGTCCTCAGTCATGAGAAGCAATCCAGACTTGAAGAGGAAGAAAGAATGTGACATGTAGGAGGTAATTAGAACACTTAAAGTCAGTTGTTCTATTTCTACAAGAAAAATGATGGCTTTGAAACATATCCTTCCAGTTTAACAGTTATGTCTCCTTTCGCTCAAGAGGATGGGTACACACATGCACACACACACACACATCCCAGACCAGGAAAGGCCTTATAAGGGCATACAATTCAACTCACTCCTTTCTTAAGTGAGGAGATCTGAGTTTCAAGAGGAAATGTCTTGCTTAAGGGTGCAGCTAACACCACTGGAGCCAAGATATTGCCCCATGTGTTCTCATTGTTCAACATCCACTTATGAGTGAGAACATGCAGTGTTGGGTTTTCTGTTCTTGTTTCAGTTTGCTGAGAATGATGGTTTCCAGCTCCATCCATGTCCCTGCAAAGGACATGAACTCATCCTTTTTTATGGCTGCAACAATCTGTACATGTACCCCAGAACTTAATCTAAGAAAAAATCATGAAAAAAAAATATTGTCCCAAGATTTTCACTCTGATGCAGTGAACTGCACTCAGGAACTGCATTCCTAACTCTTAAGGAGTGAACCCTCAGCTGGTTTCTGGCCTCCCAGCAGAATCTTAAACTGCAGGGAAGATAATCTTCCTCCCTTTGGCAGACCAAAAGCCATCCAATCCAAGAGACCATAATTGAGCCTCCAGGATTCCAGGGAGGAATCACCCCAGAATCACTCTAGTGCTCTTGTGTTTTTTTCCTAATGAGAGAAATGGGCGTGTAGGGGGCTCTTAACACATTTGACTGGAATGTATGTGGAGCCATTTGCAAGTGATCCAGGAGCCACATGGGAAAGCAGATTGTGCTGAGAGGTGACCTGGCCCCAGGAAAAGCAGGTGGAGGGGAGGGGATTTGCTTGCACTCAAAGACAAGGCAAATCCAGGGACACCCACGACACAGCGTGCAGTCTTTATCCAAGCCACTGCTGGCTGACTCAGCTGTGGCCGTGCTTTGTGCCTCCCAGTAGCCAACTGCCTTCTAAAGAAATAAACATCAGCTTTTAAAGAGTTCAAATTGGTTTTGAGGACGACAGCCTAGGGGGAGTTTTTCAGAGAGGTTCTGCTGGATACCTCCAAAGCTGTGTTTTAGTTCACAGTTTATATGCAGGTGTGAAGATTCAGCACATGTACAATCACATCAAAGCCTGGGTGGAAGGGTATATCTGGTTATAGTTTACAGAAGCATAATCATTAACCCCAACAGATGTTATCTTATGTGCAGAAAAAGGCAAGGGTTAGGGTCATTCACCTTTTGAGAAATAGAGTGACTCAGGCAAGAGACGTGGGTCCCGATAGGATGCTGTCAGCTGTGGTTCTTGTTGTTAACTTAAAATGCTATATGTCATAAAAAATAACTACATTTCTTTGTCAATTGAAAACTTTTGTCAGATTTTACTATGGCTATTCTAAGTTTTGTCTCTATGCTGTTTTGTCTTCAAAGCATTCCTCTGGAGAGCTGCACATTGTCACAGTCAGGGGCTTTGTGAAATTTTGCTGGCAAACAGCAATGAGTACACGTGGCTTCTTAACATTTGCTATTTTATCTCATATGGTAATGTAAGACAAGCGCAGCATCTCTTGAAGTGCACCAACCAGAGACACATCACCTCCTGGGGCTGCTGATGCCCTTTTTATAATTTTAATTCTTTTTTTTTTTTTTTTTTTTTTTTTTGAGACAGAGTTTCACTCGTT